GAGACCACCCCAGGTTGCCAAGTTTCTTACGACAACCTGTCATTGCCGTCCAACCGGGGCTAAATATGGAGGAGTACCCTCCCCAGGAAAGTTTCTTAGGAATATATACTATCGTGGAGTAATAACCGTACTGAGCTGTAACCATCAGCGGCCCACCTCGACTGACCCGTAACATATATGCCCAGATAATGATACTTAATAATCTAGACACCACATCTATACTATTAAATACTACTCTACATCCCTCGAGATGACATATAGTAACCGAGTGATCAGATATTAAACCCACACCACTGCACCTCTGTGGCAGGCTAACTATACGACTGCGCTGATACAGGTATAAAGTAAAGACAATACTCAGATATACTAAAGTATCGAGAGTATATAAAGAATAATATTTCATTAATTCCGAGAGTCTTACAAAAGAAAGAAGGAAAACTACTAAAGCTATACCGAAATTCCTCCGAAGACTCCGAGGACTCCGAGAGCTATTCTATTATACTTCACTTAGCACTAGAATACTAAACTAATGTGTGGAAGAGATATCTTGAGCTTACTTGAGTGTGTGAAGGAGTAGAGGAGGTGATGGCTTTTTATAGCTGAAGAATGACGGTTGTGGTGGTTGGAAAGGTCGGTAATACCCTCCAACTACCATTGGGAGTGAATTCCCACCGTCTGATCAAAGCCCTGGATCAAACGGTGCTGGGACTGATTTAGCCAAACCCAGGGTTTGGCCGAACCCTCGGCTGGGCAACCAGCCCAGTACTTGGCAGTCCGTCCCCTCTTCTGCTTTTAGACTAAGATCAGTGAATTATGGGCCCATTTGATCGTGTCAATTCTAAGTTTCTGGCCCATTTCTCCACAAGTCTGATTCTCGACAACGTCTGATTGTTTGTTCGAGTATTTTGATGTCGATTCTCCTCCATATTGTGTCTCTTCCTCTACAGATAGATAGAATCTAAGTACAAGTGGAAATAGATTATTCTAAAACAAATATACATTGCAAGTATAGTTAATTCTCCTTTATTTTAGTTATATTTTAGTTAGTTCTCTATTTCTTGTTGATTGCAAAATCAAATCAACTGGCACGCTAACACACCTGAAGGCGAGCTTTGGACCTGCACTGGAGTTAAGCAAATCTCCTAGGCCTCGTATTTTTCGTCAGCAGTTCTTTAGCTTAAATATTTGAACGGAAGACAAGGAATCAACTGGAGGCATTACTTCTTTTGAGTAGTAAATGTGTTATTATGGATAGGTTGATGTCTTGTTTCTTTTTGGTGTACTTCTGTTGACCACATAACTTAGAGCCGGCACAAGGAGTAGTCATAGTCTCTTCTGTTTAATATAACAAAAAAAAAGAATAATCATAATCTCTTCGGTACAAATTTGGTCTCACTTTATCCCTCAACATTGAAATGAAGAATTTCACATATTTCTAACCATTTATTATTGCTCAGTTTTTTTATATCTTTCTTTATTATCACTATTTCACATTTTATCTTTTTATTGAACGGAGACATGATATATGTTTATCTAGTAAACTTATCAGCAACTAAATCAAACAAGATTAACTATGTAGTGTTCATTTGGTCTTAGTCCACGCGCACTAAATTACGCGCACTAAATTATGCATCAAAATAAGTATTTTATAAATTTATAAATTTATGTAGTAGATTACACTTACCAACAAGTCCGTGTAATACCACAATTTACTTAAAAAAAACCTGCACAAACAAAAAAAAATGCCATTATACTAAGTCACAGGTTTTAATACTAGTACAGACTACAGTGAAGTTTAACGCAGTTCCATACCTAGTAGGCATACTCCAGTGCAGATTAGCCTGGAAATGCTCGCACGCATATGTTTATACGCAGTTTCTGATGGCAATTAAATCGATCAATCGATCTTGGGTAAACGATTACGATATAATCGAGGTAGATGAGTTTATGGGGGCAATCAATGGCACGTACGCAGCATCCCTCCGGCCACCGGCACCGCACCGGGTTTGCATTGGTCGGTGCGTCTAAAAACGATGGGAGTATACAATTCCAACTAGATCGTTCGTCCGTTCGTTGCTCCTACCAACCCAGACCGTACGGACTTCCGGCCGGCGACTTCTGTTGTTAGACCATGACTACCGTGTTTTCCCTTTCACTTTCATTCTCCACTTTGTTTAGCCCTGAATGGATTTATGAATAGCAGTGCACCTTCTGTTAATTAAAGATAGGTTAGGAGAGGTGAGAAGGGGACAACTTCATTTTTACAGTAGTAAAATATATTTTAGATCATTGATTTATGGTTCAATAGATATGTTTAATTGTTAATTTCTCTAACAATATATTTATAAAGCTTATTAAACTATACAAATGTATTTTTCACGGTGGATTAGTCTATTAATATTAATAATCTTCGCTATAAATCTTTGTATCATATATATTCTGTAATAATTAAAAAAAATTAACGTTTGGAACGTCATCTACTTAGGGAGTACCAGCTGGTTCTTAACAGAGATGCTCTATATAATATTCCCTCCATCCACAAAAGTTACATCTATTACTTTTATCACCAAGACCAAGGAGAAATTAAATCATTTTGGAAGTAACAAAATAAAGAAGTAAATGCAAGCATGCAACCAATAAGTATTTAGATGACTTCTTGGATTCTAATCAAACATTTAATTTATCTCTTCATTTAAGTTTTGAATGAATAAAGATTACAAATATAAACAACTTATTTGGAAAAACTCAAATGTGAAATAGGTGTAACTTTTGTGGATGGAGGGAGTACTATGATTACTGGGGCTGTTTGGTACAGCTCCAACTCCTAAATATTACTCCAGGAGTTGAGTCTGGAGTTGAGTTGTGGAGCTGCCTAAACCCAGCTCCACAACTCTAGTTCATTTTGTGAGAGAGATCCACCTAACTCTACTTCTAGTTTTATTGGAGCTGAAACTGTTTGGCTGAGCTCCAGCTCCAGGAGGGGTGGAGCTGGAGCTGGAGCTGTGCCAAACAGGTTACTACCTCCATACCATAATAATGGTTTTTATAGGATTTAAATTAATCCTAAAATAGTTGTCACAGTAGAGTATTAATTGCCCGATCAATCATTTCACATTCAAAATTTTCCCTATTATACCATCAACCACTCTCCTACTCTTACCTACTTCATTCCTCTCATAAAAAAAACCTACACATGTATGTCAGTCTTTTTCTCAAACCTTAATATATACTAAATATTTTAGAATTACAATTATTTTAGGACAGAGATAATATCTTACTGCTCCATCCGTCCTAAAATATAAGCATTTTTGGATCCTGATACGGTTTACGAGATGCTACTTTGACCAACAATACCTATAAAAGTAAGATGCTTTAAATAAAAAGAGTTGTATACGATGATAGTTTGTTTAATGATAAATCTAGTAACATCAATTTTACATGATTGATCTTTTTTATTTTTTTACTATTATTAGTTAAAAATATTTGATTTGTCACTATGTTAAAAATACTTATATTTTAGAACGGATGGATGTAGTAAGTTACTATGCATGAGAAACTGAAGTTAGTACAGTACTTATCCTAGCTGGCACCTGGCAGTCATTGACGTAGTAGTAGTGATTTGTTGACAAGGTCCTAGATTCCTAGTAGGGCATATGTGTTCTTCAGCAGATATGCTAATTAATTACTCCTATCAGGTTTAGAACCGAGGATGCGTAAATTAGCAGGCACAACTGTTTTTTGGAAAATTCCGAGAACCAGGCTGCTGTTGCCGGACCGGCCGGAAGGTTGAGAACCATCCAGCCATCTAGGCAATATTACACGATCTCAAACCGGCACGTGTCGTCTTAAAAATCGGTAAAACACAGACCCACGAATCAACCCCATTTTGAATGGAAAAAGAACCAAACTGTCCTGAAATTCTCCATTGAATATTACAATTTGTAGACTAAATCAGAAAGAATAATTCGTACCTCCAATCCCTTTTCTTAGAAAAAAAAAGTGAAACAGCTAGCCCAGCTGGGTTGCATCCGCAGCAGAAGAGCGCAGCTCGCAATTAAGCCTCCTTTAATGGTTGAGCTAGTGCACTAGTTCATGCTTGTCCATCTCGTACAAGAGATAGCAAAAAGTCTACCTCTCCAATAGATTGTCTCACAGCATATTATTTAAAATGCTTTGGGTTTTTACAATTCCTCTCACATTTTCTTTAGTAGCTTAGCTCTTTAAGAAGAGATAGTGCATTCTCTCTTCTTATCTTCTCTCTTCCACATCATAAAAAACTGATGTGGAGATTTATAAGCTAGCTGACTCACCTTGGAGGAGACCTTAGGCCAGCTCGCGCGCGGTCCATCACCATGCGATCCAATCCCATCCAATCCACCTGTGAGGCTGTGACGGCAAGATCGGCACCGCCAGCCACCGCGCGCTCGAAACGAACTGCGCGAGTAGGTCGAGTCGTGCGCTCCGAAGCAAAGCAAAGCAAAACCACCTGCGATTCTCTGCGAGCTCGACCAACGAACGAATCCAACCAACTCCTCACGCGCGCGCCTATGAGTTGACAAAAGAAAACCGCGGTGTCAGCGTTGCATTCGCCGAGCGGCACACGACTCTGATCGAGGCGGCGTTGCAGATTTCCAGCTTGTTCAGTTGTTCTTTACCGGCTACTAGTAGACGAGACGTTGACGCCACCAGGGAAGAACACTGTTTCTGTCCACGCCTCCACGGCATCAGGAAGAAAGATTGCAATCATGTCATACCCTGTAACTCTGTATCAATTCGTTTGCTCAGCTATGCCCAGGTGAGATTTCGGTTCAATTATGCCTGAGCGGTCACGTTTCGCAATGAAGAAAGAAAAAAGAAACTGTTCTGATGATTGATTTCTGTATAATATTTGCACCCAGAAAGGGGAACCATCACACACAAACAGGACGACAGGATCCAATATGTCACGATCCTAACAATACTACTAGTTGTACTACTAAGCTATCAACACCAGAGAGATCAGAGCAAGCTGGAGAAGAAAATTCTTGCGAAATGTTTTGAACCAAAATCTGTATACAAACTGCAATCTTTTTGGTAAAAAAGTATTCCTAATTATTCCTAAAAAAATCTCTGTTACTTGGAGATTTCGAAACCTTTGTGCTACATACAACTTTGCGTGTCAACCCCCTCCTCCTGACCTTTAATTTCCGCCCCCAAAATTTCTACACCCAAATTTGCCCCAAATTTGGCCACACCTAAACCCGAATTCGATCAAAATGAGGACCTTCAAATTGGTGGATCCTCTCGTGGCCGGCGCCGGCGCCGGCGCCGGCTTACACCTCGGCGCACCGCCGCGGCGCAAAGCCGAGGCGGTTGTTCTGCAGGTCGTAGAGGACGTGGAAGTTCTGCTGCTGGAAGTTGCCGATGATGGACATGGCGGAGCGCGGCGTGCCGAGGACGGCGAGGCACATGATGCCGTCGGGGTCGAGGCGGACGAAGTAGTTCTCCGCCGGGAAGTCCCAGACGGCGCCGTCGGCGAACAGGAGGGAGAACTCCGGCACCTCCACCCTCTCCACGCCGGACACGTTGTAGCACGGGCTCAGCACCGGGAAGTCGGCGACGAGAGGGTACGCCTTGTCCATTCGCTCCACGAACGCCCGCCGGATCACCTCGTACGCCGGCTCCGCGAAGTAGCTCAGCGTCGTGCCGGAGTCGATGATCGTGCCGCCGGACCCGTCCTTGCCGACGTCCCACGTGGACGGCGAGATGTTGAGCTTCTCGCCGCCGACGAGGACGCCCTTGAGCTGGACGTAGTAGAATGTGTCCGCCGCCGCCGCCGCGGACGGCGCGAACGCCGTGTAGTTGAGCCGCGGGTGGCCGAGCAGCGCGTCGTCGTCGCCGAACACGATCTTGCTCCCGACGCTGCTGCCGTGGTCGACGAGGCAGTAGGAGAAGGCGTGGCCGTACACGGCGCGGAGCTGGGACGCGAAGGAGAGGGCGCCGCGGCCGAGGCCGAGCAGCCCCGCGGCCCCGTGGAAGAGGCCGCGGTTCGAGTGGCCGCAGCCGAACACCACGTCGTCGACGCGCCGGGACGCGCCGGGGGCGGTGAGGTTGACGGTGAAGGCCTCGAGGGCGAGGTCGCCGGTGGTGTTCGACTGGTCGCCGTACCAGTAGTAGTACGGGCACGGGTCGGAGTGCGGGCGGCGGCACGCCCTGGGCGCCGTCGGCGGCGCGACGAGGCCGCAGCGGGGGTCGCCGCAGGTGACGTTGCGGTAGGAAAGGGAGGCCGCCGGGTCGAACACCGGGCCGCGCTGCTCGAAGCAATCGAGGCAGGGCGCGCACTGCAGCCAGTTGAGGTCGCTGCCGGTGTCCATGATCATCTGGAACCGCCGCGGCGGCGTACCGACGTAGAGATCCACCAAGTACTCCCCGGACCCGACCGCGACGCCGGACTCCACCGTCGCCACAATCCGCTCTGCCAGCGCGCGCCGCGGCGTCGAATTCGTCGCTGCCCTACCTCCGCCTGCTCCGGCCACCCTCCTGAGCATCGTGTGGATCCGGGCAACGTCCTTCCCCGCGGAATCCAAGAACGACTCCTTCCTCGTCCTGCCCGCCGCGGCGGCCTCGGCGGCGGACCGGTGGGTCATATGCAGCTTCAGCGAAGGGGACCGGCTCACCTCCTCCATCCCCTGCACCATCAGCTTCCCGTCGCATCCGCCATCCGCGACGCCGGCGTTGAACGGCGGGAACTCGATCCCGTACAGCGGCGACGACGACGACGACGCGTTGAGCTTGGCGCCACCACCACCAGCAACAAGAAACGGCGAGGCCACAGTCAAGAACAAGACCACCAGAGAGCGCACGGCGAGCCGCGTCATGGCTAAGCCCACATGAGACAGGCGGCGCCGATGTGGTGGTGGAAGAACAGGAAGAAGAAGAGGGCGGTGGCCGCGCGCTGGGAGAGAGAGGAAAATAGCGAAAAAGGCGCGAGGTGGGGAGAGAGGTTGGAGGAGGAGGAGGAGGAGGAGGAGGTGGGTTTTGAACGCGGCGAGAAGAGAAGAGGGAGAATGTTAGGGGGAGGTGGCCGTGGAAAAACGCGGCTTCGTCCAAGATGGGGGAAGAAGACTTCGGACCAGAGCTCAGCTGAGCTCAGCTGCCGAACCTTTTCAGAAATTTCCTTCTTCCTTTTTTTTGTTTGAATTTATTTATCGATGAGGGGGAGATTCTTAAATGAAAATGCTCTCAAGCTCGCGGTCGCAGCACCTGCTAGGCTGCTCTGCGTAACTGCGTTGGTGCGCAGCTTACACACACGCCCTGCACGAAATGCACGTTTTTCTACCGAAAATATTATAAAATTTTCAGCAAGATTTGGAATTCTCTTTAATTGCAGGTTCTAATATTTCTTAACTGCTGTTGGATGTGGAATGACAATTTAAGATTCGGCTCCCATGATCATCTCCTTAACTCCTTTATGCTAAGTTTGATCCAGCAACTTCCTCATTTCTCCCTGAGCACACTTCCCAGACTTTTTAATTATGTGTTTCGTCCAAAAACTTAATATATAAAAGTTTCTATAAAAATAAATATTTTTTCAAGTTTGCATTAGTTAATAGTTAATTAATCACTCGCTTTATCTTCTCCTTTTTCATACCGTGAAAAATCTTACCGAGTTGCTTAAAAGGAACGGACCTTAAATTTGTGGTTGTTGAATATGGAATCCAGAGTTTATGGTTCATCTGCCATGTTCATAACTTTAGGCTCCGTTCAAATGAGTGGTACTCCCTCTGTTTCAGGTTACAGGTTACAGGATGTTTTCACTTTGATCAAAGTCAAACTGTTTTAAATTTGCTAAGTTTATAAGCAAATATAATACTAAATTAGTTTCATCAAATCAATAATTGAATACATTTTTATAATAAATTTGTCTTGGGTTAAAATTGTTTCTACTTTTTTCTACAAACTTGGTCAAATTTAAAACAGTTTGACTTTGACCAAAACATCTTATAACTTGAAATAGAAGGAGTAGATATTAGCTTTTTTAATTGCACTAAAATTAGATGAGCCATTGTCACACGATAAACCCGAACCACAAAACCAAACATTTTATACCATGAACTTTCCAAACCGGATGAACAACCCCTAAACCCAATACATATCGGTTTTGATCCTACGTGGCACCAATGTGGTCATCTAGTTGGCCAAATTTTAATAAAAAATAATTAGATCAAAAATTTTAATAAAAAATATGTGAGCTCCACCTGTCAGCCCCTTTTTGTTTTATCCTATCTCCATTTCCCTTCCATCTCTCTATTTTTCAATTACTACTCTACCCATCGAGTGTCACGGCGGACTAGGGTTGCGGCCGCGGCGGAAGCATTACTGAGCGTTGGAGAAGGCGCCAACGCTACTCGGCTTGTCGGGAGAAGCAAAGGTGGTGGGGCGTTGTGAGAAGCTGTAACCGATGGCCTGCAGGGCGTCAAAGGGAGGCGGCAACGACATCATGAGGGGGAGGCCGCAGGGTTTGGGGAGGGGGGGTGGATGGGCGGCGCACTACTACCTGTGTTGCCTAGGCGACATCATCGTCCTCTTCCCCCTGGGTGAGCTGAGGACGATGGCTTGGTTGTCGAGGCCAGCTCTAAGCCAGCGAAATAGGGAGAGCTTCGGTGATGAGGTACGGATCTAGCAACTGCTTTAGAATGGATCATGCAATAATGTCAAGATTGACGATTCACCTTCCTTCACCACGAGCTCCTCGATTATAGTACGGGGAAGCTATCACCGATTGGTTGGTGGGCATGGAGCGGGAACAACCTCGATGTTGGTGGCCTCTCCTTGATCCGGTGCTACCGGGTGTTGATCCAGTGGGCTAGCGCCTCGAGTAGGAAAAATCTAGGGTGGTATGGTCCTGACAACAAGCTTCTAGGCTATGTAGACGTCGGGCGTGGCGGCCACCTCCCCCTCGTGCTGTCGTTGTCGCCTCCGCCTCCCCATACAGAGTACCGTTGTCACCTCTGCCTCCTTGACATGCGAAGTGGCCGTTGGCTCTCCCGACGCCCATTAATGTTGTTGTAGCCGCCGCGAACCTAGTGCACCACCTCTTTCATGCTTTGTTCTGGCCTTTTGGGAGAGAGAGATGGAAGGGTAAGAGGTGGGAGAGAAGAGAAAGGGGTTCACAGGTGGAGCCCAGTTTCTTTAATAATTTTTGGCTGACTAGACCGTCATGTGTGATAAAAGATCGCTTCGGATTGGGCTAAAGGTTATTTTCCGATTTGAAAAGTCCGGGGTGTAAAATTTTGTTTTTTCAGGGATAATTTATACAATCACAATAATTCAGGAGGTAATTCATATTTTTTTTATTATTAAAATTTATTTTATATAAAAAATGTATCATGCAACAATATAAAAAGCGTGTTTATGAAAGACAAACGAAGTAGCTCATCCAAATAACCAAATCGAACCAGGCTAGGTAGTATTAATATGTTGGATGGTAAGATATACCGAGTAGGAGTATTCGTTCATGGTTTTTAGATATCACTTTGACCATAATTTTTGGGCTTATTCACTTTGCTACCATTTTCAATCTCATCAAGTTTTGGCATTGCCAAATTTTTATAAGGTTGCTAAAATTTTGGCAATGTTTGCCAAATTTCAGCAAGATTTCATATGTACTTACTAAAATTTGACAACAAACTAAACATAGCCAAAATTTTGACAACTTTATTAAAAAATGGTATGGTTGAAAATGACGTCAAAGTAAACAGGCCCTTTGTATTAGATACGATTTTAAATTATAACAAGTTTTAAAAAGGATTAATAAGAAATAATTTACTACTTGGGCATCTTATATAACTTACGACTCTATGTATGTACTTTTGCATAAACCATCTAATGTCAAAACTATATATACCACCTATAACACTGAAGAAATTATAGGAGACTAATAATTTACAATAAAGCGGTGCATCGTATTGGCATAAGCTAAACCCGTATGTGAAAGGGCATGTAGCCTAATAGTTGCAGTGACCTAAATAGCATCTCAAGATCCTAAGTTCAAATCTCTATATAAGCGAATTTCAGATTGGGTAATTTAAAAGCTAACTTCCCAGTTTAATGTGCTAAGTTTTCAATTTAAAAAGACTGTATATATTCGGTTGGATGTAAAGACCGGATAAAAATTACACTTTTTTTTAAAAAAGAAGCTAAATCCATCTGTGAACAAATTGAGGAGAGGTGATGGACCAAAATGCGCACTGAGAAATTCAGGTGAGCCAGTAGCCTAGTAGTGAGACCACGCTATGTTGTTTCTTTTATTCTTTGCAGTTAATGTGCAACCTACCATGCTGCCTAACTGAGAACATGGTCGCAAGACGAAAAGTCAGATATACGGATACACATTTAAAGTATTAAACGTAGTCTAATAACAAAGCAAATTACAGATTCCGCTTGTAAACTGCTAGACGAATTTATTAAACCTAATTAATCCGTTATTAGCAAATGTTTACTGTAGCATCATATTGTCAAATCATAGCACAATTAGACTTAAAAGATTTGTCTCATAATTTACACGTAATCTGTGTAATTAGCTTTCTTTTCTATATTTAATGCTCTATACATGTGTCAAACATTCAATGTAACAGGTGAAAAATTTTTATTTGGGAACTAAACATGGGCTAATAGAATTAGCAGCAAACGACTCTACTACCACGACAAACCACCTCAACTTTTTCTTTCACACGTGGATAGTTGAATAACTCAGTTGATGAATATTTTTTAATAATTATTTAAGGATACAGATAAATGAATTAACTATTATAAAATTGAAAAAATGTTTATTTTTTAGATTTTCATATAAAAACTATTTTTAAATTAAGCTTGGGAAGCGTGCATGTTAATGCAATCATCCATTTCATGAAAAAGAAAAGGGAAAATGTGTCATGATCTTGATGCTTATATTTAGCAATTGATGGTGTAAGATACGCTCTTTCTCTCCAAAAATCCCAAAATATAAGTGTGGTCCTAGCATCCAAATTTTGTTTAGAATAACTACTTACGTACCCAACCAATCGCCCCTAATTTAATTGGTTGGAACGTTAAAGCGATTTTATTAAATGTTAGTTCGTGTAGCGAAAAAATGGTTTTGTTTTGATGTTATTCAATGGGTTTACTTAGAAATATGGGCAACATAGTTTTCACTTAATTTCTCCTATATGTATGTATGCTCCTATCTCTCTATTTCCTATTATAAGTAGATAATAAATTATTTTTAATCATAATTCTCTTATACTCTGTGTATTAGAAAATTTATAATATAAATATTGAAACTTACTCTCTCCATTAAAAAAATAACTTCTAACTACGAATCTAAATATAGAGTATGTGATTCATAGGCAATGTTAAGTTTTTTGAAATGAAGGCCGAGTTTATAATATAAGTTTTAAAATTTATAGTGTAATTATAATATAAGTGTAGGTGTAGGTAATTTATTATGACTGTTTATTAAAATATAACATCATAAATATACTGCTTATGAATGGTCAAGTCGGTTTCGTGGGAAAAGGACACCAGCGGAAGTCTCCTCTTGTCGTGTCATTCGGCGTGATGTCAGGGTCATAGATATCTTGAGACCTCAAATACTAATGACGTAGTATTCTTGTAGTGGAATGCAACAAAATGTTTTGAAGCTCTTTTTATTTAGAATAAAAATACATGGTGGTCTATCTTTTTTGGGAAAATATATGTGGTTTATCCCACAAAAAGATGGGTCCTTGCTTCCAACTCGATGTTGCACCTCCTTCAGGCTGTTTTAATTTGTTAGAAAAACATATGAAATTTTGAGGATTTTAATGCTATAAGAAACATACACATAAATGCATATGAAACAAATGATCCTACCTTTTCTTTTTCAAAATTCCTATGGAATGAACAATTCTACGAAGATTTCAGAGAAAAGTTACCAAAAGCTCCAACCTCTTCAAAATTTCTTATTTTTAAGTCTATTTATTTCATCCGATTTAAACCGACCATTCCTGTTTTTTCCTATGTTTTACATTTTTCT